ATCATGACTTCACTGTCAGTGGTGAAAAACTCCTCCGGGTCCTCTTTTTCCAGATCCCAAGTTTTCCCTCAGACCCCTCTGGAGTCTCCCACCCCAAGCTCCTCTCTGCCCCGCCTTTGTCCCCTGAAGTCTGAAAGGTTCCTGGCCTGCAGCAATGTCTCAGACAAGATGGGCGCGCTCTGGCCGCCACTTCTACCATCTACCCTCTACCCTCCCAGCCCCAATCAGGGGCAGCCAGCCAGCCAGAAATCTCTGAGAAAGGAAGAAAAAAGGCAAGAAGGAAACCAAACTGGGCTCTCATTGCCTCCCCAGCATTTCAGATGGGCTCTGTTTTCCAAGATTAAGAAGCTCCCACAACATTTCCTACCACAATTGGGGGTGCATGTCCTCTGAAATTTTTTTCCAGGTTAGCTTTCTTGCTCCCCAGTCCTCCTTTTTGCTCTCACCCTGCTGCACCCCAGCTCTTTGTGTAGCCTGAAGGGACCACAAGGAGTCAAGGAGGTTCTGAGAGGGGAGAGGTCCATCGCTGTCTCTGGAAACTCCTCCACCCTTGGCTGGGCTCCAGGCCGGATCCTCCTGCAGCCTGGCCTTGCAGGCCCGCAGCTGGCTGGGTGCCCTCCGGGCTCTTTTTTTATTCCTTGAGGCAAAGCTGTGCAGCCCTACAAGTGACCAGGCTCTCCTCTTCTCTCAATTTCACAGTGTCCTTCTCTAGCCAGTGGTAGCAACAGCTAGGAGAGCTGGAGGGTCTGAGTTACGTTCTTGACTTTATTTTGGGGAGTGAGAGGAAAGACTCAAAGGGAATGATTGCCTTCAACCTCTGGAAGCCCTGGCCCAAGCCCCTGACCCCCCACCAGGCCCAAAGCTACACCGGCTCCAACCCTGTGGGTCTCTAACCAAGGTCCAGAGATCTCAGGACAGACCCCTGCAGCTACACACTCAGGCAGCCCTCAGGGCTCTCTTTGAGGGTCCTGGCTTGAGCCCCAATACTGGGTCTAGCTTGGGCATTTTCTTTTCTTGATACTAGTAGTAAATACATAAAAATGTCTCCCACTCTCCATCCTCACCTTTCTTCCCCCTTTCCCTCAGTCACCAACTCTCTAGGGAGGCTGTAGGTTCCTGGGGACATCACATGCAGTTCCTATTGCTGGAGGGTAGGGAGCACACGGGTTCCCCACTCTCTGTTCAGCAGGATCCCAGGAAACTGGCTGCTGCAGCCCAGGAAGCCTGACTTAGCGGGCCTGGAAGCAGTAGGGACCAGAGGAGGCCAGGGGCCTCTCCCTGAGAGACTAGGACACTTTCTCAGCCCAAAGCAGAGCCTGTAATTAGGGATCAACAGGGTATAAAGGAAGCTTTGCCAGACATAGCCACCCTCTCCTGGAGGGGAGATAATAGCTGGAAACCATCTCTCACCTTTGTTCTCCCAGTCCCATCTCTCCTGGTGCATCCAGATGGGAGAAGGAAAAAGCCAAGTTTTCTAACCAGGTGGTCACAGGGCAGTGGCTGGCTCTGTCTACTCGAACTTAAGAGAACAAGTTTTCCAAGCTGCCTTCGTAGAAAAGAGAGACTGCCTTCTATTTTATCCCCTAAGCCCCGGAGTCAGCAATTAGGCAGAGTTGCAAACACTCCTGCTTTTGGAAGTGTCCTGGTGCTCTTTTTGTCTTTTTCCCCATCGGGAATGGCTCTTCCCCACCCCCGCCCCAGATCTGCAGACACCTACATTCTTGGCTCCTGTCTTCCTCCTACAGGCCTCCTTGCCTTTTCCTGCCCTTCTCACACACGCTAGGAAAAGTTTAGCTTTTGTAGTCTTCCTCACTTGTGCCAAGAGTCATAAATCTTGCAGCGCTAAGAGAAACAAACAGGTTTGCTCTGAATAATAGTAACTATCCCCCGTCTCTTCTGCCAGTGCATGTAAAATTAAGCTGTTTTGCTAGTTCTTCTCATCTTCTTAGAAGTACAAATGTCCTTATCACCTCTTAGCCCCTTCTGCCTATACGGAGGTGAGAATCTTAACAGAAACTTCTCCATGAAGTACTTACAGCCTCTCTATTGCCGGCCGTGTCTGAAGCTCGAGCTAAACACAGGGTCCTCCTTTTGTCACCCTCTCCTCAACTCCCCTCCCCCGTGCAAGATGGTCTGGATTTTTTAAATAATCACTCACCGCTTGTTGTCTGTTCTCAAAAAAAAAAAAAAAAAAAAAGAGGTCTGGCCTTCCCCCCTACCGGTTGGAAACTGGGCCTGGAGATTTTCGGGAGAAAGGATGAATAGAGAGGGTGTCGGGGAGAGAAGAAACAGACTGGGAGACTCAGAAGGAGGGAGCCAGAGCCAGAGGGCGGGAGACCCAGCCACCAGTCCCAGAGGAGTGAAACTACTTTAAAGGAAATTCCTCGTGTTCCCACTGAGAAGGAGTGCAGAGGGGCACCCCGCACCCCCACCCCCAGGCAAGCCAGTGCCTTTGACTGGGTCTCCCCAGCCACTTCTCAATTAGCATAATGGTTTGCTAGTGGGGCTGGGAGAGCTGTGAACTGCACCGGCTGTGCCTTTCCTCTGCTCTCCTCTTCCTCCCTGGACAAAATCTCAATTTAAAAATGTACCTGTTCTTAAAAAAAAAGCAAACCCAAAACAATAAACCTCTACTTTCTTCCCTTTCCCACTTTTTTTTGCCGGGGGGGGGGGGGGGGGGAATTTAAAAAGTTCCCCCCTCCCCCAACACCACCATCACCTTCCCTCCTTATCAGGCATCTAAGCTTGCTTAAGGGGGAGTGGTGGGGGTGTGTGTGAGCTTGTGTGTGTGTGAGTGAGTGAGTGTGTGTGTCTGTGTGGTTTTTTTTCCCTGTGCAAAAGCAGAGGCCATTGTTACGGAGAGTAGGGCGTACCAGTCTTATAGGGCAACCACACTGTGGCGGCTTGGCCGTGCCGGAGCCCGGAGCTGGATTCTCGGCGAGCTGAGCCGCCCGAGCACCTTTCGGTCTTCTATTTTTTTCCCGCTCCCCCACCCCCTCCCTCCTGCGCACCCCCGCTCCTAAGCCGAGTGAATTGAAGCGGACGCCGCGCGGCTCCTCCGGCCGGTCTGCCCCTCGGGCTCCCCAGCCGGGGTGGCTATTGGGGGGGGGGGGGGCGACGCAGCTTTAAACAGTGGTCTTTTTTTCCTTTGCCTTCAAGGAGGGGAGATTTCTCGCCTGCCGCTCGCGCTGGGGCTCGATGTGAATATATATTATGTCTGCCTGTTCTCCCCTCGTCGGTGGCTAAGGTAAGCTGGACTGAAATAGGCTATCAGTTTGTGAATGGCGGAGAGTATGTCTCAATGATTTATGGCCCATATGACTCCAATCTCGGTTCAAGAAGAGTTCACAAGCTTTAAGCTTCCTTCCACGCAGCGACTCTCTCTCTCTCTCTCTCTCTCTCTCCCTCTCTCTCTCTCTCTCTCTCCCTCCCTCCCTCTCTTCCCTCTCCCTCTCTTCCTGCTTCTCTCCTTTTCTCCTCTTTTCTTTCAACAGCCAGATTCAGGGCTGAGTTTATTCCCGGCTGCTAAGAAGAGCCTAACATTTCTCTCTCTTCCTTTCTTGTTCTTTTATTTTTTCTTCCTCCCATTAATTTTTTTTTAAGTCCTGGAAGGTGGCCTATCCTCTACTCCCGGGGCTTCCCCAGCTATTGTTACTCTGCCCGGCTCTTCCGGGGGTGTGCCTGGAGAGGTGGGGTTCTTGGGGTGGCTCACCGCCCTTCTCCAGCGAGACCCTGGGGGGAAGCCGGGAGCCACCGTCTCCCTCCCTCCCTCTCTCCCAAGAAGCCATATGGAGCCTGGATTTTTCCAACATGGAGGCAAGGGAAATAGACATGTTTGGCTTGGTAGAGCTGCTCCCCACCCCCTCTTCTCCTGGATCCCCAGATCCCGGACCCCCACGGCACCTTTCCGCCTTCTCACTGTCCCGTCAGCCAGGCCTCTGCGCCCTCCAGCCCAGCCGGCCTGGCAAAGTCCCGGAGCCGAGTTGCTAAGGCGCCTTTTAATTCGGTTACCTCCAGCGCCCAAACTTACTGCCGCCCTTAGGGCTCGGCCCTAGGCCAGGGTGTTGGGAACCTGCCGCCGCTAACCGTTTTAGCATCCTGAACGCTTTCTCTTCGCCTCCTTGGGCCAGCATAGCTAGTCGCCAGCCACCGCGGCAGCAGCGGTCGAGACTGCCCGGCGGCGGCAGCCAGGGGCTCACCCGGTCCACAGATCTTCCCGGCCCTGTCTCGCCGCCGGCGGAGGCTCCATTCTTTCCTATCTCATCTCTGGCTTCTCCGCTTCCCACACTTGCCTGGCCTCGGTCCTGCGATGGTTTGCGGGTTTATTGCAGGGGGAACGACAGGAATTTCGGCCCCAGGCGTCTAGTCAAATTATTGTTTTATTATTATTATTATCATCATTATCATTACTGCTGTAACAATCATTTAGACTAAATAAAGCCAGGGCCCAGCCAGCCAACCCCCTCCAACGTTTTTATTTCATTCTCCTTTCTATTAATAACAAACTCAAGTGATGCCTGTTAATTAATTCCCCCTTCAGCCAGGGCTGCTCCGAAGCTAATTTTGGTTAAATCATCAGAGGCTAATGGTAATAATAATAAAAGGATTGGGTCAGCCTGGTCAATTGAACTCCAGTGCTCCTCCCTGGAAGGACCTGCTGCTTTGCAGACCCATGTGCATTTCTCAGAAACAAATTCTTCCCAGAAACCAATCGGAGCTCAGGGCTACCCCAGCTCCCTTTTGAGTATAAATCTGTGCCATTAAGAAGGGAATTTATGTGTGGGAGGGACTTCCTTCACCCCTACTCCTTTTATTTTATTTTCCTATTTCTAGTTTTCTTTGGAGTTAACCAGCTGGGCTGAATGAGATTTAAGTAGTCCAAACTCACATGTCAGGAGAGAGGGTCAGTGTCGAAGTTTTCTGAAAAGTGATGGTGAGGGGTTGGGGAAGACAGATGGGGGGGGTCATGCAGTCAGAAATTTCAGAAGAAATACACAAAATCCTAAGACAGCTTGAACCTTTATTTTTCTGGCACACTTTTAAAAGGCTGCATTAAAATGATGATTTTTTTTTTCTGTCTTGGAGAACTTCAGGAAACAGGGGTACCCTGTTTTCAACCCAGAGAATAATACTGTTCAGATTGCTTTGTTGACTTTCTTTTCTGCTAGGGAAAATTTTTCTCTTTTAGAAAGCCCTTTCCCATCTCTTGGTAGAAAAGTCCAGCAGTTATCCAATTTCTTTCTTCTTTTGGAGAAATCAAAGGAAACAGACTGTCAAGAAAAGGGTGGGAAAAAATTAAGTCTGATGAAAAAAATGAAGGGGAGGGGACCTGGGCCAAATGGTCACAGCACCACCCAGACTGGTCAGGGAAATTGAAACAATCCTGCTCCATTTGGGGGCCCATGAGGGCCGCTGGCTGCCGGCTTCCAGACTTGGCTGAGCAAAGACTCAGACCGGAGGTGGTGGTACCTGCACCATGGGCCATGGAGGAGGCTCTGTTCCGCTGGCTCTGGAGGTTAAAAATTTTGAAGAAGTTTCTAGGTCAGGCTGCTGTGGTCTTCATGAGGTGGGAGGGGAGGGAGAGGACCCTTCACACAGAAGGTTCTCTGCTCAACTTGCTTCTCCCTCCTGTCTCTTCCGGACATCCTGTTTTTTCTCCAGGCTAGACTCTGCTGGGGTGACAGAGACCTAGGTAGACAAGGAAGGAGGCAGAGGCCTCTCAGCTCAGAGGAGGGTGCTGATGATGCTTTTGTTTTGGTGTTTCCTGGTCTCCCCCGCTCCTTAAGACATCCTATCCCAGAATTGGGGGTGGGGGGAGGAAGGGAGAGGGAGGAGGAGAGGTCAGGGGCCAGTGCCCCGGCAGGAGAGCAGCAATGGCCCCTGCAGTAGTAAGATTCTATACTTAGGCAGTCCCCAAGGGAGTAGAGTCCTCATTTGTTAAGTCGAAATAAAAACTGGTGGGCCTTTTCTTTAAAATTAAAACGTTGAAATAAAAATTTCAGGTCAGGGAGGCGGGCTCAGCGTCTGCTGTGAAGATGTTGAGGTGGGGGAGAAGACAAAACTATTGATGTCAGTTCCCTTTTCAGTCCGTAAGATGGATTCGTGCCCTAGTCCTCTTCTCCCCCTTGTGTCTCTTCTCTCACCCCGCAGGTCAGCCGCTCCGAACAGACCCGGGAGGAGGGGGGCGGGGGGGGGGGGGGGTCCGGCGCGCCACGTGACCCCCGGGGGTGCCAATGTCTGGTCGTGAGGGTATCAGGCTCTTGCAAGTTGCCACCCACTGCCCGGGCCTCGCCCAGCGATGCAGAAAGCCACCTACTACGACAACGCCGCGGCCGCACTCTTCGGAGGCTATTCCTCGTACCCTGGCAGCAATGGCTTCGGCTACGACGCTCCCCCCCAGCCCCCCTTCCAGGCCGCCACGCACCTGGAGGGCGACTACCAGCGCTCAGCGTGCTCGCTGCAGTCCCTGGGCAACGCCGCCCCGCATGCCAAGAGCAAGGAGCTCAACGGCAGCTGCATGAGGCCCGGCCTGGCCCCCGAGCCGCTGCCCGCCCCGCCCGGCTCGCCCCCGCCCAGCGCCGCACCCACCAGTGCCACTAGCAACAGCAGTAACGGGGGCGGGCCCGGCAAAAGCGGCCCCCCCAAGTGCGGTCCTGGCTCCAACTCCACCCTCACCAAACAGATATTCCCCTGGATGAAAGAGTCGAGGCAAACGTCCAAGGTGAAAAACAGCTCCCCCGGCACAGGTACCCGCTCTCTGCCTACCTCCTCGTCAGCTTTTGTCCGGGCCAGGAATGTCACTGTTATTCTAGCACCCAGCCCCTAGGCGCCCAGGCGGCGGCCTGGGAACAATATTAGGTGGCGGCGGCCGTGGCGCATTTCGGCCCCCCCCCCCACCACCACCTGATGACCCCTGACCCCGGCAACACCCTCTGCCTCCAGCCGCCTCCACCTGAGCTTCTGAGAGCTCCAGAAGGCCAGGGGCTCGGCCTCAGCCCTTCCAAGGCTGCGGAGGCAGGAGACGCTGCCAGTAGACGCAGAGTCGTCAACGATTGATTATTATTAAGTATGATTACTGTGGGTATTAATCACAATTGCTCGGGCGGCCCAGGGTCCCGGCCTCCAGGCATGGCAGTCTCTTCGCACCACATTTCCGTGCCCTGCCCACGAGTGTCCAGATTCCCCCTAAGGTTCTCCCCAGCCACCCACCCTATCCACAGGACGGGACGAGGTGTGTGTGGGGGGAGTGTCTTCCCAGACCTACAATTGGGGATGGGGCGGGGGAGAAGCGGGCGCGAGAAAACCCAGCCCTAAATAAATGGCCATGCGGCTCTGTCTGCGTGACATGATCAAATTTTCATAAGCTGGGGCAGCGAGAGGAGAACAGGTCTCTTAATAAATGCCACTATTATAGAGTGTCCGCTAATGCGACGGGCGTGGGGGGGGGGGGAGAGTGAGGAGGAGGCGGGGACGGGAAGGGGAGGGCGGCGGGGGCTCCGAGTCCAGGCCTGGATTTATTAAGAAACGATGCATTCAATTTCGGCGTGTTCAGTAATTATCTTTTATTTCATTTTCTCCCCTTCCCACCCCTCCCCCGCGGATCCAGCGGAGGGCTGCGGCGGCGGCGGCGGCAGCGGGGGCGGCGGCGGCGGCGGGGGAGGGGACAAGAGCCCCCCGGGGTCGGCAGCGTCCAAGCGGGCGCGGACGGCGTACACGAGCGCGCAGCTGGTGGAGCTGGAGAAGGAGTTCCACTTCAACCGCTACCTGTGCCGGCCGCGCCGCGTGGAGATGGCCAACCTGCTGAACCTCAGCGAGCGGCAGATCAAGATCTGGTTCCAGAACCGGCGCATGAAGTACAAGAAGGACCAGAAGGCCAAGGGCCTGGCCTCGTCGTCTGGGGGCCCGTCCCCCGCCGGCAGCCCCCCGCAGCCCATGCAGTCCACGGCCGGCTTCATGAACGCCTTACACGCCATGACCCCCAGCTACGAGAGCCCGTCCCCGCCCGCCTTTGGCAAAGGCCACCAGAATGCCTACGCGCTGCCCTCCAACTACCAGCCCCCTCTCAAAGGCTGCGGCGCCCCGCAAAAGTACCCGCCGACCCCGGCGCCCGATTACGAGCCCCACGTCCTCCAAGCCAACGGGGGCACCTACGGGACGCCCACCATGCAGGGCAGCCCAGTGTACGTGGGCGGGGGCGGCTACGCGGATCCGCTGCCGCCCCCTGCCGGCCCCTCCCTCTATGGCCTCAACCACCTTTCCCACCACCCTTCGGGGAACCTGGACTACAACGGGGCGCCCCCTATGGCCCCCAGCCAGCACCACGGACCCTGCGACCCACACCCCACCTACACAGACCTCTCCTCTCACCATGCGCCTCCTCCTCAGGGTAGAATCCAAGAAGCGCCCAAATTAACACACCTGTGATGGGAGAGGGAGGGCAGGAGGGGCGAGATCGTGGGGGTGGGGAGAGGCAAGAGAGGCAAGGGCTATGGAGCTCTGGGGGGCAGCTTGGAAGTCTGAAAGAGGAAGCCGGGAGGAGGTAGCCAGGCTTCCTGGGAAGAACCGGCCTGGAGCTCCTTCTCCTCCCTTGGCTTGAGAAGTTGCTTTCTTAAAGTTCTCCAACCCTTGTTCCATCTGCCTGCCAACCCGTCGGAGAAGAATCCGCAGCAGATTGGAGATGACCCTATCAACCCTAGGGCTCCAGCAGTACCCCGTTGGAATTCCATGCTCGTTGGAGAGTGGGGTAGAGGAAGGAGGAGATAGAGAAACAAGGCAAAGAAGCACATTTTCAAAAACAGACAAGATGGCTAGGCCATCACCAACAACTTACTTTCCATCTCTGTAGGTTACGCCTCCAAATCTTGAATTTTTTTCCCTCAATTCTCCTTTTAAAAAAAGTAAGAAAACACATTTCAAATCCAAGGGCACAAACCCCACCCCCTCCTACTTCCCTGAAGCCTCAAATTTCCTCCCATCTATTTGAGGTTTATTGGGCACTCCCTCCATTTCCAGCCTCGTATTTTTCTGCTCTACGATATTAATATCTATACGCTGCCCCCATCAATTACAGATTCCAGAGGGCTCAGGGATGGTGAGAGATCCTGGAAGTCAGAGCTGTCTATATTATAAATATATATTTTTTTCTTTTATGGAAAACCTGGGAGGTGAGGGCAGGCAAGTCGTCAGGACTGAAGCTCTGTCACTTCTGCTGCCTCCCATCTCAGCTCCAGGTCCATCGCCCTCTCTCCACAGCAGGCAATCAGCGACACGAGGTTCTACACTTTTCTTTTCTTCTGTTGCTCTCTTGACTTAACGTGAAAACAGGGTATATTTTAACAAACTGTCTGTCCCAGGCAGGAGCTGCAGCTGGGCCTGCGCCTTGCTCAATCTCCTGACAGGACACTTTTGTTGCACTTAGAGTTTACATTTTAATGGATATAAAAACAACTGTGAGAGATGCCTGGGCCTGCAGGAGTCCAGCATCGCTCAAAAAGCGTGTGTTCTAGTGAACATTTTCATATATATTTATTGGTTATAGCTTGTTAAAATATTTTCTTTTTTGTATTATTTATCCCCCTACATTATGTATTTATATGAGGGAAAAAAGGAAAAAATTGTACTTTTTTTTAGTATTTACTTGTTATAAAGGACGTTGTGTTTCCTGTCATGTAAAACCAGCTATTTTAGTTATTATTGTACTCTAGAAAAGAGCTGTAGATTTATGTTACCCTCGTACTTATGAGCAATTGTAATTAGTTCTAAAAGGCATGAACTCAGCTCCTAATTGTCACTGTATAGTCCTGAATTTGTAGAATTAGAGTTAATTCCCTCTTGGAACTTTCTTTGTTCTTCTGTAGTTACTTTTTTCCTTACTTAAAAGGGTTGTCTGTCAAACAATTCTTGAATAAACTTTCTGTTATCAATTTTATCTTGTCCTGGTGGTCCAATTTAGATAGCAGAGGGAGGCTACTGACTGCGGACTTCCCCCGAGGGAAGAAGGACACTGAAGACCCTCTCCTGGCCTTTTTGTCCACTGCCCAGGCCCTCACCTCCCCCTTGCTGTCTCAGGTTTATATAGTTTTTCTCACTCACAGGAGCCTGGAACATTCTGCCAACTTCTTTAGCTAAGATTCAAGTAACAAGTTGGGGAAAAGGGACTCTTGGGTGCTTTCTTTGGGCCTTTCTGTTTGGCTTCTTTGCCTCTTAGTTTTTCTCATTCATTGACCTTTTGTCCCCTGGCTCCTTTGGCCACAACCTCCTCGCCCCCCCTTCTCCACCATCAACAAAAAAATCTGGCCGATTACTGCTTCTTCCACGCAACCTAAACTTCACAGTTCTCTTCCGGAGCTACAAAGAAGTCGTCACGTGACCCGAAGCCCAACCACCATTGGGTCTAAAATGAAAACAAAGGAAAATGATTAATCTAAAAAAAAAAAAAAATCTGAGGCCTAGACTTCTCAGGTCAAACCTTAAAACTAAAGTGAAATTAAATCACTAAATAAAACTCGGGGTGGAGGGAGAGGAGGTGCATTTGATTTCCCCGCCAGGGAAAGGGGAGAGGAGGAGGTGGGAGATGCTGCTGGATCCACGCGTAAATAAAATGGTCCCCAGGCTAATGTGCGCCTCTGTTTCCACGATCCTCGGGAAAACTTCATTTCTCAGTCGTGGTTCCATAAAAGTTTTATCACATTGGAGCGAGGATAGAGAGGGTCTGTCAAAGATGAAATGTCACCGCCGCGTCGCTGGAGCCGATAAGAGCGACGAGACAGGGCGGCTGAAATATGGAGCTAATTCGTTGAAAGAGAAGCGAGGGCTGCTTGCTGAAGAGTTGCATAATTCTAATTGTAAGCGATGCGCCCGCACTGCTTAATTAGGAGCATATATTTGGCGGTAGTGATGGCGGTGGTTGGGTGGGGGGAGTGTCGGTGAGACTCGTTCCAGGCCCTCAGCCTTAAAGCGATGGCTCATTTTCATTTTTATGTTGCATCCTGGCAGTCCAAGGTTAGTAATTACAGTCTTTATGCAACAATAAATAACAATAAAAATGCAACCTGAATTCTACACCCTCCTACTCACCACCACCACCACCACCAAGTAAGATTTTAAGCGGACTGCGCTCATTCAAGCAGCAAGCAATTTAGCATTGGGTCAGCCTATAATTTAAAGGCATAAGAGCGTGCAAAGTTTGGGATCAAATAACGCTCAAGGGTTTTTCTTTCTGTCTGTCTTTCTCTCTTCCTCTTCCCTGAATAACATTTTCTGAATGATGTAACTAGATGAAGCGCCATGTTTGGCTCTGTGGGTGGATTATGTATCTAGTAGGAGAGAGGTAGGCCAAGAGAGAGAATTTAGCTCCAGTTCGAAAACCAGAGGTTTGGCTTGACGCTGGCATTGCAAACCAGAAAAATAAAGGCCGACTTGGCCTGGTGTCCCCTACCCTTCTCTCTGCGAGATTCCAGGCGCTAGCTAAGCAGCCAAAGTCGTGGGGAAAATATCTGTGCTGTAAGACT